CAAACTTTAACTAAATGTTCCTTAGGGTATCTAGTTTATAAATTGTATCCAAAGTTTTGATCCATCGACAATCATCGCCGCCATGGCTAAAAATAGAACATAGGGGTCAAATGCAGTTTTTGGCTTATATCTCAAAAACTAAAGCTTTTAGAGCAAATCTGACATGGGGTAAAATTGTTCAATTGGTCAAGATCTATCAGCTCTGAAATTTTCAGACGAATCGACAACCCATTATTGGGTTGCAGCCACCGAATTGGTAGTTTTAACAAAATTTTGCAGTTTTTTGTTATTATTTTGAATATTATTATAGATATATTTAAACTGTAAGCAGCAATAATGTTCAGCAAAGTAAGATCAACAAAAAAGTTTATATGACCGAAATTGTCAATTGACCCCTTAAGGAGTTATTGCCCTTTAAAGACAATTTTACACAATTTGTTCATCAAGTTTGCTAACATTTAAAAATCTTCTCCTCTGAAACTACAGGGCCAATTACCTTCAAATTTTAACTAAATGTTCCTTAGGGTATCTTGTTTATAAATTGTATCCGAAGTTTGTATCCATCGACAAACATGGCCGCCATGGCTAAAAATAGAACATAAGGGTCAAATGCAGTTTTTGGCTTATATCTCAAAAACTAAATCTTTTAGAGCAAATGTGACATGGGGTAAAATTGTTTAATTGGTCAAGATCTATTGGCCCTGAAATTATCAGACGAATCGAACAACCCATTGTTGGGTTGCAGCCACCGAATTGGTAGTTTTAACAAAATTTTGCAGTTTTTTTGTTATTATTTTGAATATTATTATAGATATATATAAACTGTAAGCAGCAATAATGTTCAGCAAAGTAAGATCTACAAAAAAGTTTATATGACCAAAACTGTCAATTGACCCCTTAAGGAGTTATTGCCCTTTAAAGACAATTTTACACAATTTGTTCATCAAGTTTGCTAACATTTAAAAATCTTCTCCTCTGAAATACAGCTGAGCGATTCAGGCTCTTGAGAGCCTCTTGTTCATATTGAATACTATAATTTTTTGGATATTTAGACATATTAAGTAGATGTTCATAATATCCACTTGAAATTTTATCAGATGACTTCTGTAGTTAGTTATGAGTCTTTGAAGCATGCTCACAAAGGTTCTTTTATTGATATCATTTTCATACTGGTCAAAACTTTTTTTTGCTTTGACCAGCTTTGGAGGAGATATTTTCAAAGAATTAATAAAAAATAACACAGAAGTTTACTTTCTAGCTCATCTAGCCCCAAGCATCATGTCAGGCATTGTCATTACTAAAAATCATTCTATTCTGAGAAACAATTTCAACATCTAAACGAAATCTTTTACTTATGATACTGACGATCCACCACAAAGTAATATAAATAGAACCATACAAATAGTAAGCAAATACATGTTCTCAGATAACATCTCCCATATAAAAAAAGCACATTATGAAAAAATGAACCTATTATGTGTTCCTCTCCTAGCTACAAAATGTATCCAAAATCAAAGATGTGGAACATATTCTATCATAATCATTTGGTAATTAATGCAATTAGTGTCTCTTCCATGCCCGTGTTGAACATAAAAAACTAAATATTAAATTAACAACATTCCTAATGCTCAGGTTGGTTGTCATTGTGCAACACGGTTAATACATAGAAAACATAAAACATAAAACATAGAACTCTTTTTGTCATATAAAACACTGTCATACATCCAATCATACTATCCACACTGATCTGTGTCCACACTTGTTTCTTAAAAAAAAAAAATAATTTCTTCTCATATTTTATTTTAAATTCTATCTCATAGATTTCTATTTATTCACAAAATTGTGTTTTTTCATGAACAATCTATGCAAATTTGTGCAATTTTTGCACGACTTGTAGCTTGGAAAATAGTTACCCATACTATTTATTATATTTTAAAAAAAAGCATAGTAAAATCTTCATTAAGGCAAAGTACAAGAAAATTCTATCTGAGGAAATATATACCGCTAATCCACCTTAAATAATTTTCAAGAGCATTTTACAGAATAAGCATTATTTTTTAAGATAAAGAAAAATGCCCTAAAAATTTATAGTATACAGAAATTAAGGACACCCATCCAGACCCTAATATATGTGGCAAGCCGTTGAGGAATTTATTCCCTTTTTTTAATATTGATTTATATTAGAAAATCATTTTTCATATTAAAAAATGATATGATTTTCTAATATTCTAATCAAAATTCCCTAATGACAGCAGTGCTTATTATAAATTATAAGAACTTAATTTGCAAGATAATTTAAGTCAATATAGCATCATACTTTTTCAACCGCTCGCTCAACAGGGGGAGAAGTGATGATGCCCCTAAACGCACAAATGAGGTTCACTAAAACCAAAGATTTTGACGGAAATGCAACAAACTGGAAAGTGGTCTATTAATGTGATTTCACAGTCTTGCCAATCTCTTTGTATTTATGTCTCTTGTAGAACTAATTAAGTGTTCTGGTGTTCAAAAATTTTTGCTGTTTCTCAATATCTATTATATTAGTATTAAAAAAATGAAAACACTGTAATTTTCATGCGTCTGAAGTTCTTTTCTGGAATAACCTTCTTAAAGAACGCTCAAAGCTAAATATTTGAAAGCCAAAGCTGTATAAGAACCAAAACAGTTGAGCTATTATCACCAAAATGGACCTATTTTGGGTTGATACCACTGCATGTGGACTACCAGCCCCCAAGGGTATCAGTAATCAATACTTGGGTATTGACATGATCATAAGGAATCTGATGTTCAGTAGTTGTCGTTTGTTGATGTGGTTCATAAGTGTGTCTCGTTTCTCGTTTTTTTATATAGATTAGACCGTTGGTTTTCCCGTTTGAACGGTTTTACACTACATGTATTAATTTTTGGGGCCCTTTATAGCTTGCTGTTCGGTGTCAGCCAAGGCTCTGTGTTGAAGACCGTGCTTTGACCTATAATGGTTTACTTTTATAAATTTTGACTTGGATGGAGAGTTGTCTCATTGGCACTCATACCACATTTTCTTATATCTACTAAAAATAAAAGCCAAATCCTTCTAAGGTCATCTTTTGTCTCAGGGAGTTGAAACCTAATAGTTTCTTAATAATTTTATAATTTATAAACGGACAATTTAAGAAAAGTTTGTTATAAATCATGTCAATACCCAAGTATTGATTACTGATACCCTTGGGGGCTGGTAGTCCACATGCAGTGGTATCAACCCAAAATAATAAAGAAAAAATTTCAAACTGGATTGTCCTTTTTTTCTGAAAATTACATAGAGATAAATCTGAACTGTTTACTCTTGCTAGCTGCTTTAATTATTGAAAGTCAAGCCAAAAAGTGCATTTTACCCTAGGCCTATGTTCTTTCTTAAGCATCAGTGGCCAAGTCTTTCTAAACTAGATACTCTAAGAAGCATTCAGATAAAGTCTGGTAAATTTGGCCTTGTAATTTCACAGAATTTTTTTAAGGTTAGGATGGAGGATGTTAAGTGTTGGTATTAAGCTACTTTTCAGCATTTTTTGTGTATTTTGTATGAAAATGAATGTTGTTTTTTTTGTTCAACTGATACACAATACACAATTAATAGGCAATACATAATCTGTTCCTTGAACTGCTTTTTCAAATCAACATGTGACACAAGTCCCACAACATACATGTACACATACTGGCCTCTAAAAACACTGCAAAGGATCTCATTTGTGTAGAGAGCACAATGTAGCACAAAAGTGAATAAAAAAACCACGAAGAACCTAAACAACGTGTTTTTATCCCATATGTATGCAGTGTTCGTCTTTCGAAATATCAACTTGAATCCATTTATACAATTTCTACAAGTTCATAAGTTGTGGCTATCCCTTTTGTCTCGATCAGAAATAAAATAGTCATAAACTAAACTTAACTGAGTGATTGAAATAAAATCATGTGAAACACTCCTAATTTCAGAAACCTCTTTCCTGTTACTGGCATTTGCCGTCCAGATTTAATCTAGATTTTTAGATCTAATACCAGGTAATTGAGCAGATACACCTGCATGCAGAAAAAAAAAACAGTAAATGAAATACCAAAATTAAAAATGAATGAGTGAATGATTTCAGAGGAGTTGCGATGACAAGAACAGGACTGACTGACGAACGAACAGACAGACGGACGAACGGATGGGTCAAAAACATTATACCCTCCGCAACTTTGTTGCGTGGGGTATAAAAATCAAAATCTAACTTGACCTGTACTTTTATGGTCCATGACATTCTCAAATAAATTTCATTAACGAGACTTATAATTCATATAATATTACTATAACTTCTATAATCCCTTAAATATTTAGGCTTAAACAAAACTAACAATATATTCATGTTCCTGATAACCCAGACAGCTCATCTGGACACCAGATTTTAATGATTTTTACAACAATATCCATGTATACAAATTGTAAGCATATATACATAAAAGATAATCATAAAAATTATAATTGATGAAATGCTTCTATGCTGTATTTCAAGTTAAATACTAAATAATGACAAAATCTCTATCATCAACAATCTCCCTGCCAGGAACAACCATGACAACCAACTAAAACGAGTGAACTTGGTCAAACTTCTTTAAAAACTGAATTTGTAGTGGGAAAATGTTGGAAACCTGAGTCCAAAACCTAATGCTCTAAAGACCGTCTCAGGAAGTATACTTTAGACAGTATAAAAAAATGTATAATTATTAAGAACAAAACAATTGATAAAAATACAAATTATATTAAACTCAGCTAAAAAATAAAAGAAGAATGTGTCTGAGGACACGATGCCCTTGCTCAAGCTTTGCAATTTTAAAAATTGAAAAAGGAGCATAACTCTAGAAAAGTAAGTGACTCACTGCCCAAATTTGCAACTTTCCAACTGATAAAGGGGCATTACTCTTAAAATTTAGTGCAGAAACAAAAATGGGACAAAAGGAACAACAAAAGGACAGGACGACGTATTTTCCCTATGGCAGGGGCATAAAAAAACGAAAAAAGTCGGAAAAGATATATATTTAACAACGGTGAAAACCAAAATATACATTTCATTTTTTCTTTTTTTTTTAAGATTCTCCATCCTTAACTTCTGGAAGTGTTTTGACTAGACACGGACCATTATTAATATATCTAAAAGAGTAGGTCTTCAAATAAAATTGGTCCATTTCAATTCATTTTCAAAGTACCAATTAAATCTAGCCACAGGGGAAAAAAAATAATGAATACATGATTGAATCTGAACTATGAACTCAAAACAAAACTATACATACCAAAAACCAATTCAGTCTCAATATGCATGACAAAAAAATTGTCAAGAATGGACATGAGTAGAGCTACCTGAATATATCCTTTGGTTTTAATGGTAAAAAAAAGAGAGATTTTAAAATTCAAAATAAGTTATCTATAACTTACAATCTTGTTGAAAATGGAGAATCTTTACACTATTTGTTTTTTTGTAAAAAATTATAAACATTTTCTCAAACATACACAAAAATTGTCTGAATTACATTCTTTACTGGTACAGTCACCCAATCATTTTCATGCAGCCACAGTTAAAGTTACCTGAAAAAGAAATATTCATTCTTAAACATATCTGTCAAAACTATGTGAAAATAATTGAAACAATATTTAATGCAAAAGAATAATTACCTGGGCATTACAATAATGATGCATATAACATTTTTTTACCTAGCTTTAAAGTGCCTTGTGGACATAACTTTTAGACTACCAGTCTTTGTTGGCAAAAAAAGATGAAAAACAAGTCGTTGTTTGTTGTCTATCATATTTGTTTTGTTTATTGTTTTATCCTATATCAAGTCATTGGTTTTCTCATATGAATTATTTCACATTTTGTCATGTTGGGGCCTTATATAGCTTACAATACAGAATAGGTTTTGCTCATTGTTGAAGACCATAAAATGGCATTCTATAGTTGCTAACATCCTTGTCATGTGGTTATTGGTTGATTAATATCTCGTTGGCAATCATACTACATTTCTTAATTTCTATATAGTGGGATTAATTTAGATAAAAAAAAAACAGAGATTTCCCTTACTTGTATCTTGATACCCCCTTCCGAATTATACATACACTTATAACATGAATAAACTGTTATCACAGAGATATGTCTCAATTTTTTGTAATTTTGATTATGCAAATGTTGAAATTAAAATGGCAATACTTAACAGTTAGGCTAATATTCAAAGTCAATGAACCATGACTGAGGTACATGGCTAAACCATCTTCATGTAAATGAGATGCGCCAATGCTAATACAACTGCACACCAAATATCATTGACTTATTATAAGTTGTTCCCTTTAAACAAACCTAAACACAATCATTAACTTGTAAACTATGTAAAAGTTTCAAAGTCAATGAACCATGAAGAGCGGGTGGAGCTATATAATCTCCATGGAAACGATACTTATAAATGCCAATAAATTTGCATACCAAATATCATTATCTTAACATTAGCAGTTCATCTTAAACTGATCTTATCACAAACTAAAATATGTAAACTAAGCAAGTTTCAAAGTCAATGGGCCATGACTGAGGGGATGGGGCCAAATATTCTCCATTGAAATGAGATGTGCTAATGCTTATACAACTGAATACCAATTAACATTGGCCTACCACTAATGGTTCCTCTTGAACTGACCTAATCACAAACTAATACATGTTAACTAAGCAAAATTTTCAAAGTCAATAGACCATGACTGAGGGGGCTGAGCCAAATAATCTACATGGAAATGAGATGTGCCAATGCTTATACAACTGCATACCAAATATCATTGACCTACCCAGGGACTTTCTATACTAACGGGACTGGTCACTTATAACGATGTCTATACAAATTATCAGACTGATCTCGGCCGTAGCTGATGTCACGTGACTTTATAGCAAATCATTTCCCATTTACGGAGTGTTCTTCATAACTATATGTTCAAGTTTAACAAAAACTTGTTTTTATGAAATTTTATACATTTTGTCATTGCAAAATGTTGTTTTTCAAAAGATTTCTCGGATCGTTTTTTAAATATTGATCTTTGAACTTTGAGGTATTTATTCGTTGAATTTTCAGTAGCCGCCATCTTGTCTGATACGGTTAACCATTTTACACACGTGGGATGTTCTTTAAAACGATACGTCTAAGTTTAATAATTCATCATTCTTTCAAAATCTTATATTTTTTGTCATCGTAAATGGCTATTAATCAGATTTTATATTAACAACTAATAATAATTATATAATTACAATGAACTGTGAAATATGCAAATAACTACTAGCATCGTATATCATAGATACGAAACTAAGTTTATTGTTGGGTGGTAGCTTTAAACAGGCGGCTTAGTAATCAGTTAAAATCAATAGAGACGAGTCCCGTTAGTATAGAAAGTCCCTGACCTACCACTAATGGTTCCTCATAATCTGACCTAATCACAAACTAATACATGTAAAATAAGCAAAAGTTTCAAAGTCAATAGACCATGACTGAGGGGGCAGGGCCAAATAATCTCCATGGAATTGAGATGTGCCAATGCTAATACAACTGTATACCAAATATGATTGACCTACAACTTGTGGTTCACCACAAACTAGACCTAATCACAAACTAATACATTGTTGACACCGCCGCCGCCGCCGGAAACAGCATACCTAAGTCTCGCTTTTTGACTCTGTCAAGCGAGACAAAAATCTAGTGACATGCTCTAAGTTGAATAGTTCATAAATCTATGTACTAACTCTCTTACCAAAAAAGTCAGCTCCAATGGCCATTCCCAACCTCAATCCTTACGGACAAACTGTGATGTTAACCTGAAATATAAAATGCTTCATCATCAAAAATTGTTCAAACTGATCATTGTTGGTATACTTATATATATTTAATATAAACAATGGTAGTCTATAAATGTGTAATAGATGTTGAGAACATGTGTATAAATTGTGTAATTATAAATCGTCTAAAGCTATCCAGCAACCCAGCAAACTTTTTATGTTATTACATCAGATCCTAAGATTTACTTATATAATGGTAGCTGATAAACGAAAGAGTAGACTTCTGACCAACTCCTAAAAGCCTAAGAGAATTTTCCAAAGAAATTTTATAATACATTTGGTTTTTTTTTTTTCTCTTCAAAACTGGAATAACATTCTGGTACTTACCTTCCTTTTAGATGTATTAGACCCCAAAGTTTTATAATCCAACACCATGAAAATCATGTCACAGAAAGGTTACCTAAAAAGGAATTAAAATGGATACATTATTATATATTTTATAAATCCATTTCTGTCAACATAAACATTTACTAAATATTGTTTTGATTTCTTACTACATGTTCACAACAGTATAACATCAACACCTAAGTTTGTAAAATTAATATATAAAGATGGAAAACTAAAAGGAAGTCAAAGAATAATGATTTGAATATCAACTGCATTAAAATCTGCATATTTTACAGAGTTATCTCCCATTGAATTAACAAATCTTGGAAGCTCTATTCCAATCTCAGGATTTACTCTTGCTATTTTTTTTAGAAAATCTTGTTAATATACTTGGTACAAATTGTTTCTTTAAATATTAAACTGGTAAAATAATTCTCAGTCGGGTAGATGTTTTCACAATTTTTAGTTTTCAGTTTTCTAACTTGGAAAATATGTTCTCACCATTCACAGTTGGCTACTGTGAGAAAAACATTTATAATGTCTAATACAGTTATCTTTTAATTTTTTTTGTTTTAATTATCCTGATAAGAATTCAACTGGCCAATGTACATGTAATGGTGTATAATATCATACCATTAGTATTTGCAAAACTTTCTTAAAATGGTGTTGATACTTTATAAAGGTATTTAAGTTGATTTCTTCTGTTTGTTTTATCCCATTAAAATCAATAAATACCATATTTTATTTCTTTAAGACAAACAATTACACACATAGGACATATAAAGACCATCAGAAATAATAAATACAGTATTGTAACCTATATATCCCCGTAAGAACTCTGTAATGGAAACAAATAATAAAGATTAGTGATGTTTGAAAAATTGTTGTCACTTCTATCAAAGCAGGCTCTCTTAAAAGCTTACAGTAGATTAAGCTTCATCTGTGATAAAAATAAAATATATATAAGGTATTATAGAGTATAGAGTTACGGAAATCTATATGCCACTCTTCCTGGTCTGTTAGCCATATTCAAGGTCGACAACTGTAACATCCTCTCTAAGCTGAATCTGCAAAAATCCAAAATTACAAATTAAACATCTGTGAGTGAACTCTGAAATGAAATATAAATATACTAGTCAACAAAAGTAACGATACACAAGTTTGAACTCTAATTTATCATAAAATATAATAAAATAGGAAAAACTGTTAAATTATCCAATGAAAAACATTCATTTGCAAAGCAAATGCATATGATTAAAAGAATCTGACCAAAATGGAAAGTGAGAAACTACCGTGTTATATAAAACAGGGGTCAAATTTATTTTGCGGAACATAAGATTTTATTACAAATTTATTTTATTGAACATAGATGTTCCTCAAATAGTCAAAAAATATCAAAGAGACTTAAGGGCTACAGTTCCACAGCTACCTTACCATCAGTTCTTTGAAGAAACCTATATAAAAAATAAATATATATACAACAATATACATGAAAATATATAAAATGAAATAAATCAACCAATCTTACTATTAGGTGCAGAACCATAGCTCTTAATTAGGTCCTTATGATATATTATAAAGACCTAAGAGCTATGGTTCTGCAGCTACCTTACCATCAATTCTGTGAAGAAACCTATATCAAAAATAAATATATATACAACAATATACATGAAAATATATAAAATGAAATAAATCAACCAATCTTACTGTTAGGTGCGGAACCATAGCTCTTAATTAGGTCCTTATGATATATTATAAAGACCTAAGAGCTATGGTTCTGCAGCTACCTTACCATCAATTCTGTGAAGAAACCTATATCAAAAATAAATATATATACAACAATATACATGAAAATATATAAAATGAAATAAATCAACCAATCTTACTATTAGGTGCGGAACCATAGCTCTTAATTAGGTCCTTATGATATATTATAAAGACCTAAGAGCTACGGTTCCGCAGCTTCCTTACCATCAATTCTATGAGAAAACCTATATAAAAAATAAATATATATACAACCATATATACATGAAAATATATAAAATGCAATAAATCAACCAATCTTACTATTAGGTGCGGAACCATAGCTCTTAATTAGGTCCTTATGATATATTATAAAGACCTAAGAGCTACGGTTCCACAGCTACCTTACCATCAATTCTTTGCAGAAACCTATATAAAAATAAATAAATATACAACAATTTACATGAAAATAAATAAAATGAAATAAATCTACCAATCTTACTTTTAGGTGCGGAACCATAGCTCTTAATTAGGTCCTTATGATATATTATAAAGACCTAAGCGCTATGGTTCTGCAGCTACCTTACCATCAATTCTTTGAAGAAACCTATATAAAAATAAATATATATACAACAATATACATGAAAATAAATAAAACAAGAAATGATTGTAACAGGATGCTGTTACAAAGTCTCCCAAACGAAGCTCCCATAATTCGTAATTCCCAGGGTCGCCTGACATTGGGCAAAGTCCAGTGAAAATTGGTTTGGTCCAGTAAAGTTATATGCATTAGTGATGCCTGGGGACTAACCCTGTATATCATTCAAATCATCTTGGCATGACAAACCAGAATATATATGGTTTAGGGGTGGGGATCTCGACCATTTACAAGATATACGAACTTTCTCAAATGGCAGGGGGTCGGGATGACCCCTGGGGACTAACCTTGTATATCATTCAAACCATCTTAGCATGACAAACAAAAATATATATGGTTTAGGGGTGGGGATCTCGACCATTTACAAGATATTAGAACTTTCTCAAATGGCAGGGGGTCGGGATGACCCCTGGGGACTAACCCTGTATATCATTCAAACCATCTTAGCATGACAAACCAGAACATATATGGTTTAGGGGTGGGGATCTTGACCATTTTCAAGATATTAGAACTTTTTTAAATGGCAGGGGGTGGGGGTGACCGCTGGGGACTAACCCTGTATTTCATTTGATGTGCTTTATCATGACAAACCAGAATATATATAGTTTAGGGGTGGGGATCTCGACCATTTACAAGATATTAGAACTTTCTCAAATGACAGGGGGTCAGGATGACCCCTGGGGACTAACCCTGTATATCATTCAAACCATCTTAGCAAGACAAACCAGAATATATATGGTTAAGGGGTGGGGATCTTGACCACTTACAAGATATTAGAACTTTTTTAAATGGCAGGGGGTGGGGGTGACCCCTGGGGACTAACCCTGTATTTCATTTGATGTGCTTTATCATGACAAACCAGAATATATATGGTTTAGGGGTGGGGATCTCGACCATTTACAAGATATATGAACTTTCTCAAATGGCAGGGCGTCGGGATGACCCCTGGGGACTAACCCTGTATATCATTCAAACCATCTTAGCATGACAAACCAGAATATATATGGTTTAGGGGTGGGGATCTTGACCATTTACAAGGTATTAGAACTTTCTTAAATGGCAGGGGGTGGGGGTGACCCCTGGGGGTTAACGCTGTATTTCATTTAATGGGCTTTATTATTTAGAACATTTTCAATTAAAAAGATTGTGTCTATCACAAACAGTTTCAATTTATAATCATTTGAAAATTTTTAAAAATAAAATCCCATAGGGTTCTATAGTAAAACCCTCTTTTCTTTTTGCCCCTCAAAGTACCCCTTTATAAACCCCATTGCACAAACAAAACCCTGATTGCACCACTAGACATGTTAGTCTAACATATTGTGAAACCCTAAGTTAATCTGACAAGCGGTTTTGGAGAACGGGTGCGGACAAGTTCAAATTTAAAAGCGGCGGAAGAGGAAGAAGAAGAAGAAGAAGAAAAATAATAATAATAATAAGAACTGAGCAAAAACAATAAGTCTTCCCAAACTTCGTTTGGGAGACTTAATAAAATAAATCTACCAATCTTACTATTAGGTGCGGAACCAAAGCTCTTAATTAGGTCCTTATGATATATTATAAAGACTTAAGAGCTACAGTTCCACAGCTACCTTACCATCAATTCTTTGAAGAAATCTATATAAAAAATAAATATATATACAACAATATACATGAAAATATATAAAATGAAAAAAATCAACCAATCTTACTATTAGGTGCGGAACTGTAGTTCTGAATTAGGTCCTTATGATATATTATAAAGACCTAAGAGCTACGGTTCCGCAGCTACCTTACCATCAATTCTTTGAAGAAACCTATATAAAAAATAAATATATATACAACCATATACACATGAAAATATATAAAATGAACTAAATCAACCAATCTTACTATTAGGTGCGGAACCATAGCTCTTAATTAGGTCCTTATGATATATTATAAAGACTTAAGAGCTACGGTTCCACAGCTACCTTACCATTAATTCTTTGAAGAAACCTATATAAAAAATAAATATATATACATCAATATCCATGAAAATATATAAAATGAAAATAATCAACCAATCTTACAATTAAGTGTGGAACCATAGCTCTTAATTAGGTCCTTATGATATATTATAAAGACCTAAGAGCTGTCGTTCCGCAGTTACCGTACCATCAATTCTTTGAAGAAACCTATTTAAAAAATAAATATACATACAACCATATACACATGAAAATATATAAAATGAAATAAATTAACCAATCTTACTATTAGGTGCGGATCCATAGCTCTTAATTAGGTCCTTATGATATATTATAAAGACCTAAGCGCTATGGTTCTGCAGTTACCTTACCATCAATTTTTTGAAGAAACCTATATAAAAAATAAATATATATACAACAATATACATGAAAATATATAAAATGAAATAAATCAACCAATCTTACTATTAGGTGCGGAACCATAGCTCTTAATTAGGTCCTTATGATATATTATAAAGACCTAAGAGCTACGGTTCCGCAGCTACCTTACCATCAATTCTTTGAAGAAACCTATATGAAAAATAAATAAATATACAACAATATACATGAAAATATATAAAATGAAATAAATCAACTAATCTTACTATTAGGTGCGGAACCATAGCTCTTAATTAGGTCCTTATGGTATATTATAAAGACCTAAGAGCTAGGGTTCAGCAGCTACCTTACCATCAATTCTTTGAAGAAACCTATATCAAAAATAAATATATATACAACCATATACACATGAAAATGTATAAAATGAAATAAATCAACCAATCTTACTATTAGGTGCGGAACCA